CCCCGGAGGACGCGGGGCCCTCTCCGGTGAGGCCGGGCGCGACTCCCGGGGGCCGGGCGGGAGCCCAGCGGGACGGCGGGGTTGCAGGGCTTTGGGTTCGTTCCCGTCCGTACTCAGCGCCCGCGGGAGGCGGGGCTGCGGGACGGACAGCTCGCGTTTCCCTGAATCCACAGGCAAACGAGCGGGAATCTGTTTGCCATAGATCCTTGGCTTCCAATTAGCATAGGTCGACTTCCTGTTAGCACACGTTGTTTATGTAAATGGACGTATGTAAATGAGGGGGACGTATGTAAATGAGGAGGGCCCCTAGCCGGGTGCGTCTTTTACATAAGATACGTAGGCAAATAAGGAGAGGTGCAATTAACATCCGTCCCTTCCCAGCGTTGACGTATGCAAATGAGCGCTGTCTTCTCTGGGCCGGGGCAGACCGTGCAGCTGGCGGGGCGGGCAGCCTTCGGCGGGGCTGACCCCTGTCCCACCCCGCAGCTGCACCCCACGATCAAGGCCTTCCTGTGCGGCTCCGTCAGCGGCACCTGCTCCGCGCTGCTCCTGCAGCCGCTGGACCTGCTGAAGACGCGACTGCAGACGCCGCCGCAGCTCGCCCACCCCGGGTAGGCCCCGCCCACCCCGGGTAGGCCCCGCCCACCCCGGCCGGCCACGCCCACCCCGGGTAGGCCCCGCCCACCCCGGCCGGCCACGCCCCTGGGAGCCCCGGCCCCATCCTTGTTTTAGGATTTATTTTACGTATATAAGTTTATAATGAATATGTACTGAACGCTCATGTCTGCTAGGTACATTATGTGCTTACATGCACTAGCGTTTATACCACACGTACCATGTGGAATACACGTCCTGTACGCAAGAACACGACGTATAGACCTGCGCATAAATACGCCTGTTGCGTAGTACACAGTACACAGCACGGTTATGCGTCCTGTGTGTACGATCTTGCCACCTAGGTGGCCATATACGATCAACCACATACATCTTCTACTGCATACTTCTTAACGTATTCCATGTTAGTTAACCCATACGAGCAATTGACGCAGTTGCGCCTTTGAAATGATACGATTATGTAATTTACGATTATAGTCATCCGTTTCACACACCTATGCAAGCGTCACACGGAGATCGGGGGTCTCACGGGCTGGCCTTGCAGGGCGATCCTCCGCGGGGGGGGGGCGCGGGGTTCTCCTGGGGACTGCGCGGCCCTGACCGCCCGCCGTGTCCGCCCGCAGGTGCCGGCGCGCGGGGATGCTGGCCGTGTGCGTGGACGTGGTGCGTGCTGAGCGCCTGCGCGGCCTGTGGAGAGGCCTGGCCCCGGTGAGCCGCCGCCCGCCTCCTCCCTCTCCCCCCCCTTCCTGCTCCCCCCTCCTCTCTGGGCTGGCGGGCGTTCCTCTGCCTGGCCCCGGCCCCGCCTCACCCTCCTCACCCGCGCGGTGACCCCCGGTGTCTCCCCAGTCGGTGCTGCGGTGCGTGCCCGGCGTGGGCATCTACTTCTGTGCCCTGCACTCCCTGGAGCGGCGGCTGCGCGGCCCGCCCTCCCCGCTGCAGGCGCTGCTGCTGGGCGCCAGCGCGCGCGCCCTGGCCGGCCTGTGCACCCTGCCGATCACCGTGGTCAAGACCCGCTTCGAGGTGAGCCGGGGCC